TTGATGTATGTATGGATTGTGATGAGAGTTGTATGAGCCCCTAATAAAACGATTAAAAAACAAACAATGAACACAAAAACAAAACAAAACAAACAAAAAAACCTTGGATGCTCTATGAAGCAGTTCGCTGTGTCGTATCAACTCGAACTGGACCACCACTGAGCCAATTCTGACTCATAGGGACCCTCTAGGACAACATAGTTCTGCCCCTGTGGGCTTCTGAGATTGTCACTCTTTACGGGAGCAGAAAGCCATAACTTTCTCCTGCACAGTGGCTGACAGTTACGAGTTATCAGCCTACCTTGCAATCCACTGCACCCCCAGGACTCCTTACTCTGTCCGACAGCGTTACTGCAAGCCAGAACGGATTCCAAGCCAATGCCATTTGGATTTTGAAAGGCTTAACCCTTTATGATTCAACTGCCTCCATCTGCTCAGTGGTAGATTCTATTACTATACTGTCTCTTTTCTTGGTTAGATAAAAGTCAGCAGGTGTGACCCACAGGGAGTTTCAATGTCTAAATTAGTTGTCTGCAAACTACAGCCTGGAGCCAAATTGGGTCTGTTGCCTGTGTAAGCTGAGAATGATGACGTTTTTACATGCTTGAACAAGTAATTGATGGAATAATATTTTTTTACAGATGCAACCAGTCGTCCCATCAGTGACAGATGGCAACCCTGTGTGTGTCAGAGGAGCACTGTGCTCTAGACAGTCCTCAAAGGCTGACTCGGGGGACGTAGCTCCTTAGGCCTGTCTTCCTAAGCAACTCTAGGTGGGCTTGAACCTCTAACCTTTCAGTTATTTGAGCATATTAGCTATTTGCCAAAATTTCAGCTCATAAATAAAGGTTTGGTGGACTGCTTTAATCTGTTTACCTATCTTTGGCTGCTTTCAGGTTTCCACAGCAGAAATGAGTACCCTCACACCTCCCTTACTGACTTGTTTAGGTTCCAGAAAGCTGGTTATCATTCAAGAATCAGTGTTCTGAGAAAATAGAGGATGATGGCATCAGAATACAAAGTGGAGGATGACTATATCTTCATGCAACTGCCAAACCACGGAGAACCCTAACAGCCAGTGTAACTCTCACCTGGCACTTTAGTGTTCGGTACTGCCAGGCTTTTGACATTGATACACAAAATTGTGAGGTAGTAGATATTTTACTATTGCCAGAAATATGTCTGATAAGTAGATGGTAGATAAGGAGGGATAGCTATAGACAGAGACGATGAGAGGCAACATCGCCAGACCCTACTCTGGTTATGGCTAATTTGTGATGTTCTCTTAGGAGAACAGCCTGGTATATAAAAATGTGTATGGTATGTCCTTTTGGTCAAATCTTATGCTGGGATATTTCACCAAATGTGGTTTCTAAAAATATATTTTTAGAAAGATCATCAGACTTCCTGAGAATCAATTATATCAGACTACATACCTTATTTCATTTCAAATTGCCAATGATCTTACTCATTTATTTAAAATTGAATTGCATCTTTACATATATACCTAACATTGCTTCCATTTAACAGGTGTGGAAAAATTAATTGCCCAACGTTATAGAGCCAGTAAGCAGTAGACTTAGAAAGTGAATGCTTTTTGTATTCTACAAATTGCACCTTCCAGATTCATTGAATGTTTTATTTTAATAACATTAAAAAAAAACTAGCAGTAAAGTTGAACATACTTCTTCCCTACAACAGCCAATGCTCTAATTGGGACAGAGTACAGGTAAGGGGAGACAGTATGTCTTCCCCAATCAGCAGACTCATGCTCTGCTATTTGTGCCCTAACGGGTAAGGTACTTAACCCCATGAGCCCTCGTTGTCCTGACGTGACATGGACATAAGCATGTTTCTCTTGCAGAGTTCTTGTGCAGTTTAAAAGAGGAAACATATCAAAGTATATAAGACATATTTGAACAGCAATGAACATGGATTCCCTTAAATGTGTAATGAGCAATGAGAGCCGGGATTCACCTTTCTATGCATCTGCACACAGATGGCTGAAAGACTAGGCACTGAGGTGATCCTTCGCGTTTGCTTCTCAAGACCGGTTATCATCGGATTATAACTACTAATTTTCATTTCAGATGATAAGTTGGATAGGGGTTTTCCAGGAATTGATATCAAAAGACCCACTTATCACACACCCCAGTCCTTCTCCAATCCCTATGGAGATGTATGTTGACCTTCCTTCCATGAGCGTAGGCACCCTTTACATGTAAAGCCTGCGTGGGAATGACATTTATCTGCTGAAGAAAATATGCTAGCTGGCAAGAAAAAACCTTATGTTTGAAAGAAGGATTTGAGAAATTTCCTTCTGAGAGTGTTAGGGCAGCAGTTTAGAGAGTGAAAAGCTACCAGAAGGAAGGGTTGCTATGTGTTGCTCAGAAGTGTCGTGGTCAGAGAAGCAGAAATAACTGAGCACAGCTCTTGTCACTGGTTCACACAGAAGAGAAGGGATTTGCCCAAATGTTTTGCTGAGCGAATAAAGGCAACCTGTGACAGGAACACCTTTGAAACCACAAAGGTGTCTCCTTTTGTTCCACAACTTGTGGTGTACCGCATCCGATCATTCTAGTCTTTCTTTCTGTAGCACATGGATGAAAAACAAGAACAAGCCAAATGGACTTTGAACAAAATGCTTACCAATTTCCTTGATGCCCCAGCTAAGGTCTTCCTCTTAAATGCATTGACTGAGACATGGATTCTTGATGCTCCTGGAGAAGCTTGGTGAGATGTCTTGCTATAAAAGGATAAGGAATGTTGATTTGAGGGTCAGGAAAAGGGTGATGTTTGCTCTTATGTTTAATATGTGGTCCAGAAAAAGTGAGGTCATCTAGTTATGCCTTATTATTTAGTATGATTTATGGTTTTTTAATTTATGAAATATTTTCTCCCCAAAGATGCATATATATCCTGCCTCCTGTTGGGTTACTTCCGGTTTGCACTAATGCTGCGGAGGTGCTTCTCCAAGCAAGCCTCTTGGGCTTCAGGGACCATAGTACGAGGAGTGAAACTAAGAACTCTCCATTCCTTGGTGAGTTAGCCTAAAAATGGAGCTCCTCTTTTCAAGCTGGGCTTATCCGAAACATTTCTCACTTAACCACGAAATTAAAAATCACTTAATTTTAGAACAGCCACTTCATAAAATGTAGAGTATTTATAGTTTGCACACATATGTATGTGTGCATAAAACCAGATTAAAATCAAAGCAGAAAATAATTCAAAGGCAACGGTGCCTCGACAACTGATGGCAAGATTGTAAAATGGGTTCAAGTTCAGCTGCAAAAGAACTCACAATAAATAATGTAACCGATATTAATCTGTGGTTTTCCAAACTGGCCCTGAAAGGAGATTTTACATTCAGCTGCTCATCATCCACTACTTTGAGAATGTGCAAATGAAAAACTCAATAATTTTCATCTGAGAATCACAAACCTAAATAGCTAAAAACACTAGGACATAAGCACGATTGCTATCTTCATTTTTGTAGCTGGAAGGACTGGCCGATGGTTTTAATCTAAAACCACGGGTGAATCAGTAATGAAACAAACACGAATCACTTTTTTTAAGCGCTGACATTACATTGTGTTGGAGCTGCTACATATATGTACCAAAGTCTGTTTGCTCTCTTGAAAAACATGATTTATGCTTTTTATTATGCATGCAACTAAATGCATGTATATTCAGTTAGACGCCAGTGTTATTGTTGGTCATTAAGGGCCCAGAAGAGAGCAAAGGCAGGTGCTTATAAGCCAAACAAAGTAGAAACTGACTACTAAGGGTTGGATTGTGTCCTCTCAAAATGTGTTGGAAATCTTAACCTCTATGCTTGTGGTTTTCATCCCACCTGGAGTGGGGTTTCTGTGTTATGGTAAGAAAGAAAATAAAAATAAGATGGGAACGGTTAGTATAGGGTTCATTTTGAATCAATGTCTTTTGAGATATAAAAGCGATTAAACACGAGAGCAAGAGTAGCAGAGATGGGAAAGAGATGCCAGGTCACATGAAGGTCACCCAGAAACAGATGCTCAAGAGCCAAGGACCTTCACCCTGAATCCAGACTCCTAGCTTCCAAAGCTTTGAGAAAATACCCTTGTGTTTGTTAAAGTCACCACTGTGGTATTTCTGTTGCAGGGGCACTACCTTGCTAAGAGTTGGTTCCAACTCATAGCGACCCCTATGTACCACCAACGAAACCCTGCCTGGTCCTGCACCATCATCACAGTTGTTCTTATGTTTGAGCCCAGCAGTCACTGTGTGGATCCATCCTGTCTTCTTATTTTTCGCTGTCTTGCTGCTTTACTGTGCATGATGTCCTTCTCTAGTGACCGCTCTCTCCTCAAAACCCATCCCAAGTATGTGAGAGGAAGTCTTGCCATGATTGCTTCTAAGGAGCATTCTGGCTGTACTTCTAAGACTTTCCAAATTAGCTGTGGGAGTGGGAGTAATGAAGTGAAATGTGGAAGCACAGAGAGGGGGCTGATCGCCATTGACAATGAGGTCCCACATTGTATGCCCTGCATGAAATTGCTTCAAGGTTCCTGAAGCTGGGGATGGGGAAATGCATTTCATAAGGTCCAAAGATCTAGATACACAAATGGCCCAGTTATGCAATTTGCTCAGCTATATGTAAGTGGCATGAAGAACAAGTACAATCCAAGGAAACTCAGTTGTTGTATGCTCTACTATCTTGTTCTGTGTTCCGTCCCCACCATTGCTAAGCTCAGTCATTGCCTGATCGCCACGGAAACTCAAAGACGCGGCATTTCTCGCATTTGGCAGCCTCTCTCCATTCAGCTGTGCACCCTGTGCCACACCAGTTCTGGAATGCGGTTTGGGTGACATTTTCCCCAAATGTCAGGTCCTTCAGTTTCCTGATTTTCCATTTCCTCTGCCTGCCCCTGAAGTAAAGGAATTACCCTAAGTTTTTTGGCATTTCCAACTTTGCAAGACAGTCCTACATGAACTCATCCACCCTCCAGATTCTGTCATTGTCATTTTAGGAATGGTTCAAAAATCTGATTCAGATTGTGAGCATTGGAAAATGAGAAAAGTAAAAAGATGCAGTATCATAGTAACACCAAAATTAATAACTTTGTCACTATGAGAATCAACTTGATGATGGTGAGTTTGAGTTTGAGGTTATTGTTGACTTTGTTTCAAAACTATTTTTTCTGGACCACTCAATATTTCATCCTTACACAAAATTAATTGAGCCAAGATAATTATATACTTGATGTTTGATGAGTCGATGTCAAGTACAACTAAAGCAATTAATTAGGAAGAAGCGAAAAACTCTGCCTTCCCACTTTAGTTATACCAATCTTGGGGGGAAATTGACCGATTAAGACCAAGCACTCATAATGACATAAAAGGAGTGCACTATAAAATGCACCCTTCTGACCCAGATGATGTTTTCAAACTAAGCTCCTCTAACTAGTCCAAAAACTAATGACATCTTCCAGGACCCAAATATGCAGCTCATGTTGCTGGCATGGTCACTCACTGATATTGCATCCATTCTACAAGATAATTTCTGCACTTGGTGGGACAGGAGGAAAGTCAAGGGAAATAGAGGAAAGA